AGTTCCTCATGGTTATTTTATCCTGTGAACACTTTATTTTATATAGTTATTTAAATTTCTGGGTTTATGTCTTCTTTTCTCCAAAAGATGAAAAGAAGCAATTCTACTTAATCTTCTTTCTATCCCCACAATGCCTGTTTCCTTTGTGAAGTGAATGACTTATCAGTGTCTTGAGGCCAAAGGTTTCCTACCACAAAAGTTCTATTTCAATTTGCACAGGTCAAAACCCATCACAAACTGAATCCTTAACTCTGCTTACTCAAATACTTGTATATTCCAATGTTCATAAGAAGGTAAATGATGCAGTGCCAACCCTTTACCATTGCTTGGGGCATAAGAAAAGGGGAATTTCTTACTGATGCTGGATTGGTAATGTCACCTTGAAATATAAAGTCCCACAATTAAAAAAAAATTTTTTTTTCCTTTCATAGAAGTTCGTTCCTGTTTAACATTAGAGGAAGCTCTAATATTGACTTAATATTGCAAAACTATTTACATAAAAAGCAGGTAAAGGAAAAATAATATTCTGTTCTTATTTTTTCCTTGAGTGAAAGAGTGAAAAGTGTAGAAAAAGTAAATTGGTTATACAAAGTATGATCACTCACCTAGTGACGAGTAAGAGAATAGTTTAGTTACTATGTAAGCCTTATGGATGCACATACAATTTTAAAATGGGGGAAGGAACATTTAAATATATTGTTAGCTTCACTCACAAAAATTGAATTTTCTAAGTAAAGATAGGATGGCACTCCTATCTGGCTTCTCCTATAGATCCAGATAAATAAGACAAATCTTTTATCTTCATAAGCCAAGATAAAAAACATTTGCTCTTTTAATAATAGAAAGCTACTGAGGGATTTTGGGTAGGAGAATGACATGAGCTGATTATCTTTCAGATCCTTTTGGCTCTGTGCTGATAGGGGACAAGAGTAGAAGCCGGGAGACTGGTTAGCAAGGCCATTTCGGTAGTTCAAGCACAGGATGATGACAGCTTGGACTACGATGGCAGGAATGGAAATGGAAAGAATCCTGGATATCCTGAGAGAAACTTCAGGATTTGGTTTGGAGGCAGAGTCAATGGGACTTTTTGTGTATTTCTTCTTGTGTTAAACTGTTTCCAAAGATGGCTGCAACCAAATTCCACATGCCTTTTAGCCACTTCTCTCATCAAGGGGTGAGGTTTATTTCCTCTGCTGTGGGCTGGCCCTATGATTTTTTTTTTTAACCAATAGAATGCAACAAAAATGACATTCTGGGACTCCAAGGTCAGATTTTAAGAGGCCTTTACTTATGCAGCCATTAAGAAAGAGAGAGAGAGAAAAAAAGGAAATCCTGCCATTTGCAACAACATGGACGAAGCTTGAGGCCATTATGCTAAGGAAAGCAAGTCAGAGAAAGACAAGTACTGTATAATCTCCCTCAGGTAGAACCTACAACTTACAAAAACAGAGAGTAGATTGTTGGTTGCCGGGGGCAGGAGGTTAGGAGGAGTGGGTGAAGGGAGTCAGAGTACAAACTTCCAGTTAGGAGTTCTGGGGGTCCCAGTGTACAGCATAGCGACTATAAAGAAGTCCGGGCTATGCCACTGGGCAGAGAAGCCACGGGGACAGAGCTGCCTTGGAGAGTGAGATACCTAGAGCAGCGTCCATGTAGCGAATGAGTCATCAGAGCTGAGTCAGCACCTGGACCTGACATGTGAGATCCCAGGCATGTGAGTGAGGTCATTTTGGATCTTCCAGCGCAGCCCAGGCCCAGCTGATATCAGCTGGAGAAAAGCCTTAGCCATCCTCTTTGAGCCCTGTCCAAATTCCTGACCCACAGGATTGTTGCTTTAAACCACTCAGTTTGGGGTGGTTTGTTAAACAGCGAGACAGCTGAAACAGTGCTGCTTTTTTGGGGTGGTGTGGGGGAGATTATGTAGCTAATGATCTATTTCAATGCTTCTCCTCCCTGTAGAGAACCAATTTTTATCAGCATTCTGACACAGGAATTTCTAGTCTTTTCCTTACACTCCTCCAATATTCTTATGTTGGTGAAATCAAACCAAAATGAATCCAAGTGTAGACACTAAAAGGGACAATATTAATAATAAATATGCACGTTGCAGCCTCAGCATATGTGGACTTGGGGTAAAGGGCAGCCATTATCTACTTGTGGGCTGACTGGGTGCACATGAGCCTTTCATATTTTAGCATCAGCTCATCAAAGACTTCTACAATACAATTCCAAGAAACACGGGGCCAGGTTTGAATCATGCCACTAAGTGTAGAGTTACCTTCATGCCAGCACACTGGGCACTGGGATGGAATCTGTGCTGCCTTTCAAGACTATACACACCACATCCATCTGTTGGATGGGCAGCAGACCAGCATTGGGGACCTGGCCACCTTCCCAAAGGCCCTGTGGCTGGCCTCTGCTGAGGTCTTACACTTGGGTTTTTTCTGTTGCTGACATGTGAAGAACTCTTCAGCTGCTCTGAGGTTGCCGCAGATGTGCTGGCTTAACTCTTCCCAAGCCACTTGACACTGGGTTCTACTGAGACTTGTTTCCACACTACTCACAGGCCATAGGTCCCTCCCTGGTGGGATCAGAAAAATATTTAGCTTGGTTGGGGGCAGAGGGGCCGGGGGAGGGTGCTCAGATCTTTACTTTGTCGTCAGCTCAGATGACAAGCTAGTTATTTTTAATCACTGTTGGCATCATGGCACAAACACACTTTGTGCTCTAGATTCACAAACATACCCAATATATCCATGTTCTCTGTGGACCAATGATGTAAAAACCCTGAGTCATATTCTCAGTTTTATAATGCATAAAGTAGCAGAGTGGACAGAAAGGTATTAAGTGACCTTTGTCATTCTGAAAAAAGGGGCTGCTGGAGCTGCTAATATTGGTACAGATAATAGCCCATTTTATTAGTGAAAGTACTTTCTGCCCCTAAACGTGGTCAGTGCTCTGGAAACCGCAGCTCGGGCTGTGGGACATTTGAAGTTGTCCTTAGGAAGATTTAAAGTCTGGGTCAAATCACATCTTCAATGTCTCCTGTGAGTGCCTCCTCCTCCCACCATTTTTCTATAGGTGAAATCAGATTCTAGAACAAAAAGAAGAAGGTAATATAGTCTAGGGAATGCATGCATATTTTGGAAACTTTTTTTTTTTGGCAAGTTCATAACTATTTTCATGTGATTATCAGCGAATGGGGTGGGGTAGTGGTGGTGGCTAAGAGCTGACTTAACAATAACCTTGCTCTGATTTCTTACCTATTTCCTCTGGGAGGGTTTCAACTCCTACAAGATGAACCAGGGGTCTAAAGCAAAAATTTCAATTTTAATGTACAGCATGGTAACTATAGTTAATAATACTGTATTGTATATTTGCAAGTTGCTAAGCGTAGATCTTCAAAGTCCTCATTACAAGAAAAAAAAAGTTGTGGAGGCTGGCCGAGTGACTCAGTTGGTTAAGAGTTTAAGCTCTGAGCAACAGGGTCACAGGCTGTATTCCCACATGGGCCAGTGAGCTGCGCCCAAGCTGAGCTGCCAACAGGTGGCAGGATGGCTCAGCTGGTGAGAGCACGTGCTCCTAACAAGGTTGCCAGGTTTGACTCCCGCATGGGATGGTGGACTATGCCTACCCGCAACTAAGATTAACATGGCACCTTGAGCTGAGCTGCCCTGAGTTGCCGAAGGGCGGCCAGGTGGCTTCGTGGTTAGAGTGTGTGCTCTTAGCAACAAGGTTTCCGGTTCAACTCCGGTATGGGATGGTGGGCTATGCCTACCCGCAACTAAGATTGAGCATGACACCTTGAGCTGAGCAGCTGTGAGCTGCCCACAGGCGGTTGGATGGTGACTGGACTTGGAGCTGAGCTAGCTGCGCCCTCCACAACTAAGACTGAAGAACAACAACGTGGCTGTTCCCGTTCCCCAATAAAATCTTAAAAAAAAAAAAGAAAAAAAGAAAAAAAAGTTTTAACTGCTAGGTGGATATTAACTAGTCTTACTGTGATTATTTTGCAATCTATACAAATATTGAAATGATTATGTTGCATACCTGAAATGAATGTTATGTCAATTATACCTCAATTAAAAAAAAGAATCCCACTTAAGTTGACTAGGATTCTTACTGCAGGAGTTAAAGAAAATATTCAGAGATCTGAAATAAACCACAGGGTTGTGGTATTTTTTTTGGTCTCCGTCCCCATGTATGATTGAATAATTCTTGCTGCAATGCTGGCCCTAATTATGTTATCTTTTCCATCTTTGACTCCCTACAGTAAAAAATAATAAAAATTCAACAGATCTTGGGAATGATTTTTCCCAGTCCTCACTCTTCTTCCTCTGTGTATGGCTCCTTAATCTGACATGGTTCAAAGGCAGTTCCAACTTGTGCTCCCAGGGGTACAATATTCATAATCAGGAAGCACCAGCTTGTGGGAAGGCCTGGGTTTCCCAGGGGCCAAGTGGGACTTTGCAGAGTATTTACTCTGCTGTGAGTGAACATCTGTGCCAGTATGATAACACCTGCTGGTGTTGAGCAGCAAAGTCAACCCGGCTCCAGGGCTGGAAGCAAACCAGGCTCCAGGCAGGTTGCAGATGGCAGGCCCGCCCCAACTTTTGGGTTCCCCAGCACTTTGCTCAGCTAACAAATGGGGAAAACTCTCTATAAAGCATTTGAGCTAAACTGGACAATTGGGTGCTCAATCTATCGGCTAAAAACACAAATTCGTTATCTAACCAAATAATGTTCTATTTTTAGTTATGTAAGTACATTCATACTAAAAACTGTCTATAATTGAGGTATTAACTTTGAGAGAACAAAATGACACGGATCATACTCACGGGATTCAATCCCACAGAGAAAGTGATGCTCTGTAAAACATTTGTACAAGGGGTTTACTGTCTTTCATTCTTTAAGTCTGAAATTGAAATCTTCAAGACAGGTTAAGTCTTTAATGTTGACACTCATTTAAAAAGGTGATTTTAACTTACAAAAGACAAAGTGGGTCTATATTTGTAAACATTTATTCTTTTGAACTGAAAAAGGCTTGCATCAGCACACATTGTACAGCCTTGCAAATTACACAGAAATTGAAAAAAAGGTTCCTTGTTCATAAGTGCAATGAATCTTTGATGTCCAGTGATCCGCTGCAAACAATGAAAACAAATTTTAAACCACTTAAGAAGTTTCCAGCACTCGTCAAATGTATTTTCTTAGGTGACAAAAAATCCACAAGGAGGGGAGGGGAATGCAAATAAGTGGCAGTTATTGGAGGGACACTTAAAAAAAAAAAAAGTGGATTTTCCTGCCTAGAATGATTCCTATTCCCCTTTGAGTCTAAGTGGTTTGATTAAGAGGCATTCAAAACATAATTTACTTTACACTTAATGTTCATACCACCTAAATGAAGAAGGAAAGGACCCTATGAGGGAATTCTGTATTTCCTGGAAAGTGTTTTTGTGTTTAGAGATACAGGGGAAGAGTGATCTACGTGTGGGCTCTCCTCAGTCACCCCCTTCAGCCCCTCAAAAAGATAGAACATGGTTTTGACTTGGTTATCCCACTGCTGCATTCTTTCCCCCCCAAATTCTATGTTGGGTTACACTGTGCTGGATGCAAAAAAAATACAGGTTGCAACCGGTTGTAGTCATTTTGAAGAATAATTTGCTGTACAATAGAGCTTTGGATCTGATACAAGAATTCAGAAATATAAAACAAAATAACTATAAAAGTTAGGAGGCATTTGAACAGCATTTCCTCAGAAAAAGCTGCTAACTCTGTATCATTCCGATGTGGATTCCTACAGTCACATGGGGTGAAGTGTGTATTTCCCCCCTTTTGCTGGAACACTGGCCTGTCTTCAACAAAAGCTGTAACGCCGTGACCACACATCCTAGGAGTCTCTATCATGTTAACAGAAGCTCCAATACCAAGCCAATTAAAGATGGGAGAGGGCAGGGGGATCACAAAGGCCAAGGGTCCAAGGTGGCTGTTACTGAGAACTTGCCCTTTCCAGAATGTGAAAGTCATAGTGCTTCTTGCTTGTTCTCAGTTTAAACTTGTTAACCGAGTTAATTTGTTTCTTCAATGCATTCTGTGCAGCTGAAATGGAGGGGAATGTGGCTAAGACGGTGTACGTGGAGGCCAAGTCACTGGGTTTACAGCGTTCAGAACTGACAGCACTGTCCCCACTGCCACAGCAGAGGGGGTGACGATGCAGCTGGGGCTGGGACTGGGGGTCCCGCAGCCACCGGATCTTGGCGCCAATTTTAAAGAGTTCCCCAAAAAGCTTCTCGGCTTCCATGCGAGTTATTCCATCTGGTAGTTCAGTAATTTCCAAGACCTTCCCAACAACTGGAATGGAAAAGGTGTACATTAATATCCTTGTTACCAAAGAGGTGGGCAGAAAGTACTGTCAACCCAAATATGACACAGGAAATGAACAGAGTATTATGAAACCACTCAAATCCACCGAACTGTAATTGTTCTAGCCGTCTTTTAGCTCATTCCCACTTAGACCTTAGGCAAGGGGTGTAGAGCTCCTGGTGCTGAACTAACCATCTCAGTCTTCACTGATGGCTGCACATATGAAATGCAACACTGTACCATGGCTTCTCTAAATCAGGCGTGTGATCTTGGGCAAACAGTTTCTTGAACTTCACATTCCCATTGTAAAATAAAGATAATAGCACTTGCCTTTCCCACCCCAGGGAAGTTGAGTAGAAAGTTAAGGTGATATATTTGTTCACTCAAACTATCTCCATATGGGTGTTAGCACTACTTCCTTTCTCAAAGAATACAGAGGCAAAGAGTTGCAGTCTACCTGTTCTCTCACACACATTTTCTCCCTTTTGTCCCTTCACCCCTTCTGAATCCACCTGTACCTGACTACACTCTGAAACATGAATTGAGATAGAATTAAAAGAACATAGTCAAGAACCCTGCATTAGAGATGGCATAATTTTCTAGGACATTTTGCAGAACTCTGGGAAGAAAACCCATTTCTGCGCTGCGGTACAGTTTTACAGACCATCGAACTGGTCAACCATTAGAACCATACCCAGCTGCCTCTCAGGGACACACCTGCTTCTCCTGCACCAAGGTCAGTGGATGCAGCTTTTTTAGCTTGTTTCCTTCCTCGGCTTCCGTGCCTGTTGCCAGACTGACCCTGAAAACCCACGAACAGATGAGAAACAGGGTTAACAATGCTGAAAAATATGTTTGTAATGTTTAAACCCTTAACACCTAACCATACTTAGCCTGGGTTTTATATTTCAGCAGAAGAAATCCAATCCCAGGCTGTGTGAATTGTGCCTCTGTGGCAGTGGCACTCCTGTCTGTCACTATGACCAGTCCCTCACTGGCTGTCTTTCATAAATGAGTCGCTAATGCCCGGTCACCACCCATCTGGGACAGCCCGTGCACTGCTGCGCAGCCAAGCTGTGGACCACCTTCTCCCCACTCTGCCCTAGACAGGCCAGGGACAGCACTGATAGATAAGCTGGCTGAGGCACAGAACCCTCCCTGTGCAGCCCAACAGTAGGGCCTGGGGTGCCCATGCTCGGCAGCAGAGGTGTGATGCTCTGCCCATGCACTCGGGAGGTCACACAGCTGGCTCACACACCTGTGGGACTGGGATGTGTCCGTGCAGGACAGCAGGAGGGTTGTACTGCAGCGGCTGGCCAAGTAACGGGTATCTGGTATCTCCTGCAAGTCAACAGAAATGTTTTCACATTTTCCTCTATGCAGTGATCAAGCACTCCCTACAGTTCTCTAAATTGTCTCAGTTAAGACAAGTAGGGGACATATTTGGTAGAATAAAATGTGTAGGTATTGACATATTTTTAGAAAGAATTAAAAGTTCCATATAACCTTTTAAGAGGTAAATTTCTGAAGAACTAAGGAGTAATAACAGTGGTTATGAAGGAGGGTAAGTGGTAGGATGAACAGAAATTTCTCTGTATCCCTGAACATTTCATATGAAATCCACCAAAATAATGATAATACCCACTCCACCCACTTGAGATGCTAAAAAACAAATTATAGGGCCGGCCGAGTGGCTCAATCGGTTAAGAGCTCGCTCAAGAGTTTGAGCTCTGAGCAACAGCGGTTTGATTCCCGGTCCGAGCTGAGCACTGATGAGCTGCCAACAGGTGGCAGGATGACTCAGCTTAAAAACAAAAAAACAAATTAATATAACTTATGTTTCAGAGGAAGGAAAAGACCCTGAAAAAACATTACGCTCTCTATCTCCCCAAATTAATTATTAATTACTATAAATATATGCATGCATATATACTATTTACATATGCATACAAATATTTTTACAGTCTTAACCAATAGGTATATTTATATTCTAGGTCTTAGGTCAGCTCTTAAGCTCTCTTTAAATGAAAATTTGTGTTTATAACCTCAAGTTGCTTAGAAAGAGTGGCACAGTTCTTAGGTGTTATTCATGAGCAAGTATTCTGTTCCTAAATCAACACGTGTGGTGTAGTCAGAATGGAGACCCTCCAATTCTTTTCTCTCACTCAGGAGTGCCTAATCATCCCATGACAAGGGCCTAATAAATGCTCACTGCAAAAGCCTTCTTCTGGAGAAGAATATCTTCATTTGTTATATTCTTATTTTATTTTAACTCTAAGTCCCCAATTTGAGCACATTCTGTATTTGGAGGAGGGTTATGGCTAAGTGCTAGGAAAGCATCTTCAGGATATCCTACACCCCTTTCTCTCAATAGTTTCATAATGGAGAGAAGCAAGGTGCGAGCTTCCTATCACTGGGAAGGTGCTAGGGCAGCTCCCTGGCAGAACATACCCATGACATACTCGCTCCTTCCCAAGCACTGGTTCTAGGGCAGATATGACACGGAGACTTAGCACTGAGATCAGAGATGCAATGTGAAGAGTGAAGATGCATAAAAAAGTGAGAGTAGAGTTTAGGTCTATGGAGCAGTATTCTTTTCAATATGAAGAGGACACAGTAGTCAGCACTAACCAAATGCCCTTGTTACAGGACATGGTCTGTGCTCCTTGTGGGGCATTCATACTACACCATGCATTTCAGTACTACTATATTGCCCCAGTTTCAATCCACATGCTGTTTCAATTTATTTTCTTTATTTTTTATTTTTTTAAATTGGGAAATTGGGGGAGGGCAACAGTGTTGGGGAATTGAGGAAGGGGACCAGCCAAGTTGTTGTTCTTCAATCTTAGTTGTAGAGGGCGCCAGTTGCCATCTGGCTGCCCATCGGCAACTCATGGCCTCTAAGCTCAAGGTGCTGTGTTACAATCTTAGTTGTGGGTGGGCGTAGCCATCATCCCAGGCGGGAGTCAAACTGGCAGTTTTGTTGTTAAAAGCGCATGCTCTATCCACTGAGCCACCCAGGTGGCAGCTCAGCTCAAGGTGACGAGTTCAGTCTTAGCTGCAGGCGGGTGTAGCCCACCATCGAACAGGCAGTCTTGTTGTTAGGAGCATGTGCTCTCACGCTGAGCCATCCTGCCACCTGCTGGCAGCTCAGCTTGGGGGCAGCATCACTGGCTCATGTGGAAATTGAACTGGTGGCCCTGTTGCTCAGAGCTCACGTTCTTAAGCTAACTCTTAACAAACTGAGCCACTTGGCTGGCCCCTCAATTTATTTTTTTTATAACACACTTTATTTTTCTAGATTATTACAGTAACTGGTTTTGTAGAAAATTTGGGAATGCATAATTACAAAGGAGAAAATAAAAACGACACCAATAATTCTATCACTTCTAACATTTCGGTGTGTATCGGTTTGGTCTTTGTTCTATAGAGGTGTGCTCACACATGTGTATATGTATATATTTTATAATTCTTTAAAAGAAGCTGGGATATAATTAACATAAAACAAAATGCACATCTGTAGTGTTAAGTTTGATGAATTCTAACAATTGTAAAAGTCCACGTAACCGTGACCTGAAAAAGACAGTAAACATTTCCCTTTCCTGGAAAGTTCCCTCAAGCTCATTTCCAGACAACTCCCTATCTCATTCATACCATTATCTGATTTCTAACATCATAGTTTAGTTCGCCTTTAGTTGGATTTCATGTAATTAGAATCATATAGTATGTCTTCTTTTTCTGTATGGTTTGTTTTAGGCTTAACATAATTCTGGATTCATCTATGATGTTGCACATCAGTAGTTTGTTTTGTTCACTTTTTTTAAAGATTTTATTGGGGAATTGGGGATGGGAAACAGTATTGGGGAATTGGAGAAGGGGAACAGCCAAGTTGTTGTCCTTCAATCTTAGTTGTGGAGGGCGCAGCTAGCTCAGCTCCAAGTCCAGTTGCCATCCAAACACCTGTCAGCAGCTCAGCTCAAGGTGCTGTGTTCACTCTTAGTTGCGGGTGGGCATAGCCTACCATCCCATGCAGGAATAGAACTGACAACCTTGTTGTTACACCTTGTTGTTAGGAGCATGTGCTCTCACCAGCTGAGTCATCCTGCCACCTGTTGGCAGCTCAGCGGCAGCTCAGCTCAGGCGCATCTCACTGGCCCATGTAGGAATCGAACCTGTGACCCTGTTGCTCAGAGCTTAGGCTCTTAACCAACTGAGCCACTAGGCTGGCCCCTGTTTTGTTCACTTTCATTGCTGAGTAGTATTCCATTGTAAGGATGTACTACAATTTGTTTATCAGGTCTCCACTGGTGTACATTTTGGGTCATGTCCAGTTTGGGCTTTCATCATAAAATAAAGTTGTTGTAAATGTTCTTGTACAAATCTGCATAAACGTGTTTTCATTTCCCTTGGAGAAATACCTAGGAGTGACTAGAATTGCTAAATTGTGAGATAAATGATTAACTTTGCAAGAAACTGCCAAATCTTCTCCCAAAGTGGTTTTATCATTTTACACTCCCACACCAATGTGTGAGAATTTTAGTTGCTCTGTATCTTCATTAACATTCGGTGTTGTTAGTCTTTTTGATTATAGCCATTCTAGTGGGGGCAAAGTGATATTTCATTCATATTTTAATATACCTTTCCCTAATGAATAATAATGTTGAGCATCTTAACAAGGGCTTATTGGACATCTTTTTGAAATGTTCATGTAACTTGTTTTTAAAATCACTCATCATACTGTTGATTATTTCCCCTTTAATGATTCTTTAAAACATGGTTTTTAGATAACTGCATAGTATTCCTTCTATGGATATACCATAATCTAATCCTTACTGATGAACATTTAGGTTGTTTTTTAATTTATTCTGCTATAGACTAAACTCTTCTGTGCATAAATCATTGTATGCATGTATCCTTACGATAAATTCCTGGAAACAAAATTAATGGTTTCTATATTATTTAACAATCATCCACTTACATGTCTGTCTGTTTCTTCAACCGGTCTGAAGGCTGGTGATGATGAGAACTTCACCTCATTCATTTTGTACATCAAGGGCACAATAAGGCCTCAACAAATGTTTGTTGAATGAATTTTTGAATAAACTCTTGATATATATTATTCTAATATAGAAACTAGAAATACAGAATACAGAATATTGCCTATTACTAATATAGAGGAATGGAGTCTAAGGATAAGTTAAAGCCATTTTAATTCTGTCATTTAAATAATTATTGAATAATTACTAAATTATTAATTAGTGATGAAACATTAAGGTTAGGAAAGTACATAGTAATAAACAAATACACCTGGGTGGAGGTGAAAATGTTGTCCTATGGAAAACTGAAAGATAACAGCACCAAGTAAATTGCAAAGTTACTGGGATTGATGTCTGATAATGCTCTGTGACTGGTTTTGTGTACACTTACCTTGCCCAGGGATAAAAGGTCTAGAAAATTGGGGTATGATGGAAAGTGGTGGTCCAGAAGGACGGACAGTTTTCAGGGTGGATAGCTGAGCTGGTGCTGGCGACTGAGCTGGTGAAGTAATGGGGCTGCAGAGTTGAGGGCTGTGCTGCAATTACATCAAGAAAATGGGGGAGCATTTCAGTCAGACTTTTTGCAAAGTTCCTTTCGGACAAAACATTTTATTCTTTTTTACAAATATGTACTTGTTATACTATTGCAATATATACTTGCTATTAAAATAATTAAAACACTACAGAAATTTATAATTTCCAACTCTCAAACCCAGATCACAGATTGTTTCTATGCATATGCATCCATACATCTATGTTTTACAAAAATGTAAACAGACTATACATTCTATTTTGGAATCTTGCTTTTGTATCTTGACAATAATGTTGTAGATATTTTTCCATGAGAGAATATTTACATCTACCACATTTTTTTCTCATTATTTTCACATTTCATTTTTAAACAATTCATCCTGAAGAACAGAGCAAAAATAGTACAAAGAAATCTCAGACTTCCCAATGTTAATATTTTATTATACTGGTTTTCTCCCTCTGTATATACTACTATTTTTTTCTGAACTACTTGAGAATGAGCTGGTCATGATACCCCTCTATCCTAAAATAATTAGTGTCTGTTTTCTAAAAACAAGAAAATTTTCTTACATAAATAACTACAGAATTGTCAAAATCAGGAAACTAACAATACAGTACTATGTAATCTAGAGTTTATTCAAATTTATGCCAACTGTCCCACTAATGCACTTTATAGGAAAAAAAAAAGAAAAAGAAAAAGAAAAAAAAAATCCCCTCCTAGTCCGGAATCCAATCTAGAATCAAGTGTTAAATTTATTTGTCAAGTCTCTTTGATATCCTTTAATCTGGAACAGAACCTCAGTCTTTTTTCTCTTTCATGACTTTGACATTTTGAAGATCGGTTATTTTGTGAAATGTTCTTCAATTTGGGTTTGCCTGCCATTTTCTCATCAAAAAGTTCATGATATGCATTTGGTGAAGGAATATCAGAGAAGTGATGTAGTGTCCTTCTCAGTGCATCATATGAGAAGGAACATGCTGTCCATTTGTCATCACAATATTGGTGATTTTTATTTCAATTACTTGGTTAAAGTGGTGTCTGCCAGGTTTCTCCATTGTCACGTTACTAGTCTTCCTTTCTAGTTATAAGTGTCTTGTGGGGTGATCATATTATCTGCGAACAGAGATAATTTTACTTCTTCCTTCCCAATTTTAATGTCTTTTATTTTTTTTTCTTGACTAATTGCTCTGGGTAGAACTTCCAATATGATGTTGGATGGAGAAGACACATTGTATGTTACATACCTTTTAAAATCTATTGAAACAATATGTGGCCTAACATATGGTCTATGCTAGAAAATGACCCATCTGCACCTGAGAACAACGTATGTTGTTGTTGTCATCTGGTAGAGTATTCTGTATATGTTTGTTAGATCTAGTTGATTTATTGTGTTTAAGATTCTTATTTCCTACTTATCTTCTGTCTGGTTGTTCTATTCATTATTGAGAATGGGGTATTAAAGTCTTTAACTGTTATTGTAGAACTATTTCTTTCTTCACTTAAGTCAGTTTTTGCTTCATATACATATATATGTATATATATATACATA